TTTTTTTTTTTTTTTTTTTTTTGTGAGGTTGCTCATCAGCTCACTGACAAAATAGAGCAAAGAAGAATTTTTTAAAGTGCTACAGCAGCACTGCACTGTTATGTTTATTCTCAAGTACTGGTTTCAAGACCACTTGTAAAAGCAATAAAGCACGAGGAGTGACTGTAGTAAGTGGGATCTTTAAATGTAAGCCTCTAAGAAATTTCAGTGAATTCAGGCACAGACAGCAAAACCAGCGCTCTCCAAAGCCCAGGGTGGCGTGTTAACAACACCAAACACCGCACAGGAACAAACCAGAAAAATCCAAACCCACTACTTGGCACCCACACCTTTCCTCACTGGATTAGAACCACAGCTTCCATGAAAACTTTCTTTTTCTCAAAGGGTGTGATGTGGTTACTTATAATTTATTTAGGAAATTAATTTCATGCAGAAACAACAGTAATAACAAAACGCCCCTGGCTCAAAATGAAAAAGAAAAAAGACTGATTTTTGTAATGGAGTATAGGTATAAGACATGAAATGATCAGGCTGAGAAAATGTTCTAAGGAATCCAACTGCTTTCTAAATGTATTTAAAAATTCCCTGAAGAATATATATAAAGAAAAGCTTAAGAAGAATCGAGTTTTTAATGCCTCTAAAATATAATAAAAATAAACATTTCTAACCATCTTTAAAAACTAAATGCATGTATTATTATGCCAAATGGTAACATTAAGCTCTAAAAGCTACCTGTAGAATTTACCATCTTTTAAAATTTCTTTTAGAAGACACAGAACTTGAATTTATAGTATAATCATAAAAATATAATACTTTAATACTCTTCTTGACCCATAATTCATTTCACACTTCCTTCAAAAACATGGATGAAAACCCAAGTATTAAATATAATTTCTGATAATTAAATTAATAATTCCCTAAAATTGAACTTATCAGGTTTCTAAAAGAGGAACTGAAATTCAGAAAATCAGTCCTAAAAATATTGTAATGTTTCTCAAAATATAAAATGAAGATAGTTTTTTTTCATTTAAAAATACTGTATTTCTGGATCAAATCATTTTATCTTATGGGATACCAGAATGTAAAGTTCCTGTTTTAAAATTTAATTGGGCTAAGCAGTTAATTCAAATGTAATGCAATCATCTAAAGGATTTTTAAAATGAGAAATGTTACTGCAAAAGGAAACTTGTGCTGTTTTAAATATTTATCCCAAAGCAAAAAAGGCAGGTGTTTTGTCAGACAAATGCTTCTATTCCCATCTATAAATTCTTCCTGAGGGACTCAATGCTGCTGCACGATTAGCATTTTATGTTGGTGACAAATCCAGCACACAACTCACCACTGCTTGAAAAACTTACAAGAAGTGCTACAGTTGAAAAAATGTGAAAAAATAAATTTTATTCTTTATGGAAAATAAGCAAGGAAATATCAGAAAAGGAAAGTATAATTGAGCCCAAATACTTAAGAGGAGTGCAAAAACAGCTATCCAGCTAGTGCCAGTATACACATCAGCTGTCTCGGAAAGAAGGAACAGGCCACTCCATTTCCTTTAAGGTCCGCTGTTCTCTCTGCCCTTTTCCATTGTGTGGTCTCTAAGCAGCCCTACTGCGAGCAGCTGTAGACGCTAATTTGTGGTTCACTGAGGTGTCAATTGAGTCTTAAGCCAAGGAAACAACAGCTGCAAAACAATACTTGGCTCTGGTGCAAATATTTTCAAAGGTAGACTAAAGTTTCAACTGTTATTTTAGATAAACAAAACCCAAAACCATAACCTTCCATCAAGTCACACAACAAAATAACATGTAGCTAAAGTCCGATTCACTGCGTAGGACATTTCTCATCTTGTTGCCACTACTCAGAGAGGCTGTCGAGACTTTACCTTGACAAAGGACTTCCTTCGCTAGATGAAAAACTCGCTTCCGAAGTGATTCTGTGAGTTGTCTTTGTCTTCACTGTATCACTGCCAATGTTCAAACCTGCGACAAGCACAAACAAGGGCGGGAGCATTAGCCTCCACGCAGCAACAGGCGCAAGGAAAAAAGAAGGGACCTCGCAATAACTTTGGTAAAACAAACATCAACAGAGGAAGATGCTGTTCAAGCCACAGAGAGAAAGGGAGCTTCTGAGGCAAGGAATAACATGCTGGTAGAGTGCTGAAAGGAAGTGGGGGGTTTCCAGTGACACACAGAAGTCACGAAAAGTGAAAAATAAAACCATTCAAAGAACAGCATTTTAAATGACCGAGATGCATGTGTAAGCACATGGGTCTCAACTACGGCATTGAGCTCTGGATAATTCACACTGCTATAACACGTAGGCACCAAGATGATGGGTGCTAGGAACCAGGCTGCAGGAGTAGCTGACACTCCTGGATGACAGTGGCCCACCCCACCCACCTTTAAGTGCCTCTCCCAAATCCTCTATTTTTCCATCTTGCAGAGGAGACTGAATCTCCACTGAAAACCATCAAGGCCACTCTTTCACCAGCCTGAAAAGGTTGATGGGGAAGATGCACAATCCACCTCTTTCCTTGGGGCCAGGGAAAGCCCACGATGCCCCCAATTTGCAGGGCAATTCCTGACCTGTGCCTCCTGGAAGCCCTCAGCCTTGGATGTGTTTGTTACAAGCCTGATTCTTAACTAGCAGTTGCCCAAGATCACAGCTAGAGAGAGCAAGGGCATCTCAGCAACAGGCATTTGCTGAGTTTCTAACCAGTAATCTGCTTGCCTGCATATAACCTCTGCAGAGGAGCAACTCTCTTGATAATGTGTCCATGCTCAGCCTGAGCAGGGTCTGCATGTGCTTAACAGGACCTGGTCATTTCAGATATGGAAAAAAAGGCACAAGGTTTAAGTGGCTTTCTTTAGAGACAGGATGGCTCCTGAGTTCAGAGGGCACATCCCCACCGCAACCTGGAACAGTGCTGTGTGGTTTAACACGGGCACTTGGCTTCCATTTCCCTCTGCCCTCCCAGCCTACTTCCTGCTTCTTTTTGGAGCTCAGAGAAGTCCCTAGGATCAGAGTGAGAATGAAAAAGTAATGCACGATCAAATGTAAAATAAATATCAGAGGCAGTATCTAACCACAATGACACCCAATGCTATTAGAAGCATTTCTAAGATCCTAATAGTGGGAAATTCAGAATGTTGCAAAGCGCAGTGTCATTGTAAGTGTAGAGTGAGGAACCTGGACACAGGTGCTTGAGTATAAAATACGTATAGCATCACTTCACTTATGAATAAATTAACAAAAATGTTAATTACTAGTATATTAGTAGTACTGTAATTTTGATACACACCCAACAGACTACAACTTATATCAAATTTACTCATCCTTTGAACCTGTCCAATGAACTATCCAAAGTATACTTACCAAAAACACACAAAGTCACCTTCCAAACGATGCACCTGCTAACCAGCCATAATGCTCAGAAAGAGACGTTACTCTCTTGGGGCCTCACTTGAAAAATGAGGGGGTTGGATAAGATCCCTCTGGGGTTTACCTCTGTGACTCAGCTGTGAGGAAGGTGATAAAAGCGAGCATTTAAGGGCTCACAGGTAGGCGCTATACCTCTCCAGAGTGACAAAGCCCCCACTAGGGGCAGAGGACCCACTTTACACCTCAACAAACTACAATGTCTCATGTTCTCTGACTGCAAACAACCACTGCCAACAACACGCCAGCCCTCCCTGGAGGCTCTTCTCCAACAGGCACAGTGCTGGGCATTTAACTTGTAGTGGATCACTGAATCCTCAAAACAGCCAAAATAACTTAATTTTGCAGCAGCCGATTCTAACACTAGAATTACCTGGGAAATAGCTCTTCAAAGGCAAGTCTGATGCACCATAAGTATGTCTCTCAAAAAAAAAAAAAAGTCTGTAAGGTGAACACGTCTAAGTGACAGGTGGGAATCTGAACATGGACAGGAAGTACGTGACATTAAGAAATCGTTCAGCCCAGCCGGGCGTGGCTCAGCGGTTGAGTGTCGGACCCAGGATCCAGGTGATCGGGGTTTGATTCCCAGTCAGGGCACATGCCCAGGTTGCGGGCTCGATCCCCAGTAGGGGGCGTGCAGGAGGCGGCTGATCAATGACTTTCTTATCATTGATGTTTCTCTCTCTCCCTCTCCTTTCCTCTCTATGAAATCAATAAAGATATATTTTTAAAAAAAGAAATCGTTGTTCAGTCTGAGAGGTAAAATACGGCAAGGCACTTTATGTGAAAGGAACATTCCAGTGTTCTTCCTTCAGGATTAATCCATTTGCTCTTACAGAGGGAACTGAGGTAACTTATACTAAAAAAAAGGTGTAATAAAATAAAAACCACTGAAAATAATAAAAATACAATAATAAAGTAAAACAGAGAAAATTACACTTAAAACAAACATCCTAGACTGACGAAATTACATTTAAGCTTAAAACTAGTTTTTACTGGAATTTAGTCTTTTCATCTAAAGAACCCCCCCAAATACCCCAAAATTCTGATGAGGGAGGTAGCCTAGGATGATGCTCCCCATTAGTGATTAAGAAACTAGAAGATGTGGGGGGAAAAGGAATTTGGGGTATCTCCTGTGGTACTTAGTGAAAAGTTACTATCATGATGCACGAATCCAGGAGGGAAGACTTTTCCAAACTCCTGTTCATTAATGATTGAAATGACTGAAAAAGAACTGGCTCATTCTGACCCAGTGACAGTTTGTTACAAAGCAAACTCCAGAAACCTTCAAAGAATGACCACACTTCCCTGAACACAGCCCTGGCCACCGCCCTGTGCTGTGTGTCCCAGACACTGACTTTCAGTGCTGGATCAGCCCTTGCTTACCTGACAGCTGTGATGCAGAAGCATCCTTCTGGAATCTGTCTTCAGTTTGGTTTGTATTATCCTGAAGGGTAGAATGCTTCAGCAACTGGTAGGCTTTTGTTTCTATATATTTAAAAAAAGGCACAGATAACTGGATATCTGCACGCAAAAGAAAGAAGTTGGACCCTTACCTCACACCATACAGAAAAATAAACTCAAAAATGATTAAAGATTTAAATATAAGACCTAAAACTATTAATTCTTAGAACAAAACATAGGATAAAAGCTTCAGGACAGTAGATTTGGTGATGATCTCTTGAAGACCAAAAGCAGAGTCAACAAAATAAAAACAAACAGGACTATATCAACTTAAAAATTTTGCGTGTCAAAGGAAACAATCAGCAGAGTGAAATGACAAGCTGAACAATGGAAAATAACTGAAACCATATATTTGATAAGGGGTAAATATCCAGAACATATAAGGAACTTAGATAACAATAAAAAATAAACAACCTTATTTAAAAATTGGCAAAGGACTTGAATAGACATTTCTCCAAAGAAGAGATATAAATGGTCAATAAGCATGTGAAAAGATACTCAAAATCACTAATCATTAAGGAAATATAAATCGAAATCATGAGCTACCACTTCATACCCATCAGGATGGCGACTATAAAAACAAACAAACCTAGAAAAAAGCAACTGTTGGTGAAGACATGAATAAGTTGGAACCCCTGTGCACTGTTAGCTGAAATGTAAAATGGTACAGCCACTGTGGAAAATAGTATGGAGCTTCCTCAACAAATTAAAAATAGAATTACCAGACCAGTATCCTTTCCTCTGAGATCAAGGCCCCACTGTGGTAGCCCAGGCTATTCAGGCACTTACTTCACTACACTGTACTCCTCCGTCCCGTTCCCTAGAGTTAAGCCCTTCCCTCTGTGTGTGTCACCACTCTGGGCTCCTCCATGCATTCATATGGAGCCGCCAGCCTTCCCAGGACAGGGAGAGTGGGGGAAAGAACCTGAGAATCGTTCCAGGATTAAGTTCTTTCTTCACTACAGAACTGGGAGCATAAAGGGTGTGGGGGTATGAGTTTGGGGAACTGGCTGGAGGGAAGGTGAAGCTCAGTGATGCTCTTGATTTTAATCCCCACATCACTTATCACTTTGATGTTAAATAAGAAGCATGAGACACAGAAAAAAATTAAATTACCATATGATCCATCAATCCCACTTCTGGTTATATATCCAGAAAAATTAAAAACAGGATCTCAAAGAGTTATCAGCACATCTGTGTTCATCACAGCATTACTCATTCACAATAGCCAAGAGATGGAAGCAACCCGATGTCCATCAATAGTTGAATGGATAAAGAAAACTTGGCATATACATACAATAGAATATTATGCAGCCCTAACAAGGAAGAAAATCCTACCACATGAAATAGTATGAATGAACCCTGAGGATATTATGCTAAATGAAATAAGCCAAATACTGTGTGATTCCACTCATATAAAGTATCGAAAGTGGCCAAAATCACAGAAAGAGAAAGTGGGAAGTGATTACTAATGGCTAAATGACACATGGGGGGCATCAGTGTTCAGTGGGTAGAGTACTCCAGTACTGCAAGATGAGCAAGTTCTAGAGATCCACTGCACAGCGTGAATCTACTTGACACTACTGACTGCGTACTTAAAATGGTTAAGATAGTAAATTTAATGTTACGTATTTTTTACACACATAAAAGTAGTGACCAGATATCCCAATTCGTCCATGACAATTCAGGTTTACGTCTTTTGTCCCAGTATAATTATGAATAGAATCTTCTTTAATTATAAAAGTTTCCTAGTTTGAATAATAAATTATACGGTCACTCTACTTAAGAGACATATAGCCCGGCAGGGCATGGCTCAGCAGTTGAGCATCAACCTGGGATCCAGGAGATCAGGGTTCAATTCCCGGTCAGGACACATGCCCAGGTTGGGGGCTTGACCAATGACTCTCTCATCATTGATGTTTCTATGTCTTTCTCTCCCTCTCCTTTCCTCTTTCTGAAATCAATAAAGATATATTTTTTTAAAAAAGAGACATATAAACCAAATGCAATACAATGACATAGTTGGGCTACTAATGGGAAGGAAAAAAAAAACACAATGGTAAAAAATATTTGAACAGGTTGTATATTTGGTGATATTGGTAAAATGTTATTAATTGTTTTAGGTGTGAAAAAATATACAGAAATACTAAATTTTCTACTACCTAGAGAGAAGTTTCTAAAACTCTTCCTGTGATGTTAATACTTTTCCAATGCATGCACATTATTTTTTGAACTGCCTTTTAGATACTCTAAAAACAAACAAAAAACAATTTAGTTGAACCCAGTTTTCAAGACTCGAAGGCAAGCTGTGTAAACTTATCTGAAATAGCCAAATTCTAGTCATTATTTTGAGGTCTATGGATAGGTTCAACTCATGGTAAAAGGGTTTCTCTCCACTCCAGGCCTCATAGAGGCCACTACAGGAAAGAACCAGAAGAAACAGCCTGGAATTCCTTCGTCTGTCCTCCAGTTCTGTCAAGGCACTCCCTGCTCTGCCTCTCAGGCTCTCTCACATTTAAGAGCGGGGTTTCTAGGCTAGGCAAATGGCAGGAGCATTAGGAAGAATGGTAGTAGCAGGATGGGCTCAGAGATCCAGAGCTGAGAAAAATCTAACCAAGGCCTGTTGTGGGAACAAAGAGAGCATGTGCATGGAGCAAAGCCAGGCATGCCAAAGGGATCAGCAGCAGCCCAGACCTGGCTCTGTCCACAGAACACCCTTAGCCCTGTAGGGCTTCTAATAGCACCTACTGTAAGCTAATGTAGAAAAGACTGTTGGGGAAAACAATACATGAAGATCACCTTTATAAAGGACCTCAAGTCCCAAGGACACCTGGATGAAACGGCACATGGAGAATTGGCTCTAGCACAGACGATAAAATAGAATCTGTGCTCACATCTTCCAAGTGGCCATAGATGAAAGGCTTCCTGCTGTCATGTGAGCACCAGGGACTGGTGATCAGACACCTTCCTGCTTCTGCTAACTCAACTTAAAAACTTAACCACAGGCCCTTATCACTGGACTAAAACTATCATCACCCTGAAGGATGAAAATATAACTTATCTGGCCTTACTGAGAATCATTCAAGATAAAAATAAGGACTTAAAATGAGCATATTTTGGAATATTAAATGCTGTATAATTAAAATATGTACGGACAGGGACTCTTGATTCTGAAAATCATAAATTCTAAGGTAATATTTTTAACACTGCTGGATGTGAAGTCAGCTTGGCTGGACCTGAGACAAATTTAATAAACAAAACACCAGATGCAGCGCACGCAGAGGAGAAGGTACTGTGTGTGGAACTTCAGTCGGTCTGTGTTAAATACTGGCCTGGAGAGAAAGTGTTTCCTGGACAGAAGTGGAGGAGGGTATGGGGGGTAAATGGTGATGGACGGAGACTTGACTTGGGGTGGTGAACACACCACACAGTGCACAGATGACATGTGGTGGAACTGTGCACCTGAAACCTGAATAATTTTGTTAACTAGTGTCACCCCAATAAATTCAATAAAAAGGGAGGAAAGTGTTTCTTGCTGGAGGTTAGTCCCACTGTCCTAGGACGGCTCCAATAGGAAGGCCTCATAACACTCTCCAATTAATCCTAATATCCATTTTACTTCAGATTTGTTGTAAGAGAATCTGAGGGGAGTTATTAATAAAATCAAAGCCAGTCTGATTTCTGAAAAGGTGCAGAATCACTATAAAAGAGGTGAAAATGTTGTATTGTTTTTATTTTATAAAGGTCAAACAAAAAGCTTTTCAGCTTTTAGGATACAAGTCCTGATCTTAATGACCATGTGCTATTTCTACAATCAAACTCATTTGCTCAAGGGAAAGTAGAAAAGATAGAAATTTAAAAAGAAAAGAAAGAGAAAATGAATGCCTTATTGATAAAGGCTCCTGGTGCTGGCAGCTAGAGCTGGGGGTTCCTCTGTCCACTGTCTTAAGGCAAATCATTTAACTTCAGTGAGCTGGCTCTCGTGCTTCTCAGAACCAGGGAAACGTGTGCCATTTATTTTCAGGAGGGAATTTTTTTGAAAAATATCAAGCTGGTAGTTGTAACATTAATTTCAGATTTGGGGGGATTAAGTATTTTGTCCAAATACGAGACAGAACTGATATTACTGGTCTCAATCTAGCAAGGAAGGAATGTGAATTCATTCTTAGCAGCAAGGGATCACTTGACTACTCTGGGAAAGATAGGTCATTTCCATGTTTCACATACCTTCCATTCTGGTTCCCTCCCCTTCCTTCCTGAAGGACTTGGACTCTCTAACTGGGCTATGGACTTTCCCTTCAAGGCTGCCTGAGTCTGCTTTCAACTATACAACAGTTTTAGAGGGAGACAGTTCATCTCCTACCCCATTCAGCCAGACTCCACTCCCTTTCCAACCATGGCTCCTCGCTGGTGTTCGATTCCTAAACCTGTGGCCCTTCTCTAAGTGGGGAGTCACTGAAACCCACCTGGACAGTTTCTAACTGAGATGTAGCTACCCAGACCCAAGGAATAAAGGTCTGGCAAAATTAATGCTGGGGACTGCTGGGCATGTCTCTCGTCCTCACTCTCCATTCATGCTTCCTCTAGTGGTTTAAGGGCAAAGTGAAGTTTAAAAGTTTACCTTTGGAGAGTTGTCTCATACACCAAAAGATTGTGGGTTCGATGCCTGGTTGGGGTGTGTACGGGAGGTAACTGATCGATGTTTCCCTTTCTCATCGATGTGGTCTCTCCCCCCCCCAACTCCTATCTCTCCAAAGTCAATAAAAACGTATTTTTAAAAGGTAAAAGGATTAAGTGCATTCTCTTGGAGGAATAAACACTAATTGAGGTAGGCCCAGAGACACCGAACCAGCTGGAGGAGTTGGAGCAGACACTCAGATGGGGAGTCAATCTCCATGGCATGTACCACACCTTTATTCACCCTTATTTTAGTCAGAAGAACTGCACAGAACAACATACGAAGGGCTGGGAGACAATCCAAAAAGGAAAAACAAAACTAAAGTTTGGTTAAAAAGTCATCAGGA